GGTGGGGACTGGTGGGGTTATTGCAGGGACTACTATTGCATGACATTGAAATCTCTTGAAGGTTCATTCTGCTGACAAGGAAAGAATGCCAACATTAGTCAGCGATTGAAGATGAGATGTATATCAGTAGACGCGCCTTTGAATTGCGGAATAAGTTCTTGAAAGAAGTTGTGGGCGTTCAAATGTCTAAATTTGTTAAGATTTAGGTGGCCTAGAATTGGCGAAAAGCTGTAAAAACAACGGAAAGTGGAAAATCGTTTTTGTATCGATTATATTGTTTACAAGAAAGAAACAAAGCCGGTGAAAATTGCACAGGTGTTGTTTTACAGCTTTTCGCTGAATTCAAGACATTCAATGTTTGGCAAATCTGAACATTCAAACGCTCATAACTTCTTTCGGAAACTTATTCCGCAAAAAATTAGAGCAGATTTGGAATCAGCGTTCAAAGGCGCATTAATGATATACATCTCATCTTCATTTGCCAACTAATGTTAGTATCCTTCGCTTGTGAGCCACTGCCTTTAAAGACCGCATTTATAAGACAAAATGCCCTACGACTCCAATAAAAAATGACTTTGAGCATTTACTCACAACATACTAAATTGCCCCACCTGTCACCTGAAGACCGTCAATTACAAAATTTTCCCCGATACAAAATATGTTTTTCTGCCTAAATAAATGGCTCTACATGCCGCTTATAGACCGAAATTTATTTATAAGCAAGGTGCTAGCGGAACTCACAAGGTAAGGATGATCGGTCAAAGTGGCCATTTGGAATGAGCTGTATATTAGGAAACCGTCCTCGGTAAGGCAAACTCAAAACTACTTTCGCTAGGTGCCGAGCGGTTTTGTCGGGGGAGTTACAAGGCCATTTTCCTCCGGCGCAGCCGGCGCACCCAGTGATGGACGAGGCGCTAAAACGACGGAATGGTGTAACGGTGGCGCAGTGGCAAGACAGCGGACTACAAAGCAGATGGTCGAGGGTTCGAGTGCTGTTGCTGTTATTTTGTTTTGCAGTCCTGTAAAAAGTCTATTGGGTGAGAGTAAACGAAAAATACTCATTTCTAAGCAGTTGAAACAAGCTATTTACTGCAAAAAGTCACTATTTTTACAATAAGCCATAATCTTCTACAATATGCAAATCTGTGGAGGTTATAATGTTACAACAATGGATTCAAATGACATATTAGCATGTATGGAATACAGCCACAAAATGCTCAAAGCAGAAGAGCTTCTCGCAGCGCGCGCACTTGCAAAATTGCTCGATTCACATCCCATGTATTGGCTCTCGATCTGAACTTTACCTTGGGATTCCATCCTTAAGATCTTATCGCTCATTTACACACAATTTTGCTCGCCGCGATTCAAAAATTTTCTCTCATACACATGGCATGCAGCCGGATACATTGACAACCACCCCGGCGAATTCGAGTCTCCTATTCAGTAATGTTTCACCGACTTTGATAGGCAATTGTGAAGCTGCTAATTGTCATCTTTGAGCATTTTGTGGTTGTAATCCATACATGTTAATATATCATTTGAATCCATTGTTGTAACATTATAACCTCCACAGATTTGCAAATTGTAGAAGATTATGGCTTATTGTAGAAATAGTGACTTTTTTGCACTAAATAGCTCGTTTCAACTGCTTAGAAATGAATATTTTTCGTTTACTCTCACCCAATAGACTTTTTACACAACTGCAAAACAAAATAGCAGCAACAGCACTCGAGCCCTCGACCATCTACTTTGTAGTCCGCTGTCTTGCCACTGTGCCACCGCCACACCACTGCGTTGTTTTAGCGCCTCGTCCATCACTGGGTGCGCCGGAGGAAAATGGCCTTATAACTCCCCCCAAAAAACCGCTCGGCACCTAGCGAAAGTAGTTTTGAGTTTGACTTACCGAGGACGGTTTCCTAATATACAGCTCATTCCAAATGGCCACTTCGACCGATCATCCTCCCTTGTCAGTAACACAAGCAAAGCAAGGCTGGCCAAAGATAAACGCTTTCAAAACCGCAAGTGAAACCCAGCTACTTCGCGCTCTCTTGTCTAAAAGCACAAGACTTTCCCAAGTGAATGTTTTGAGAGGACTTTTCAAAGAGTTTTACAAGAACATACATAGATTAGCTGAATTATCTGCTACGCAATTAGTCATCATTTCAAAAGCAAATAGCAGCACCGTATATCTGACTAACAGATTTTAGGATAACAACACAGACAATCGCTGGGGGCAGGCGGGCACCGGAAGAATAGATTGCTGATTTCTTGCACCCCGCTCGCGGATTTTTTGCAAAGCAATCAGGACTTTTCGGAAGAGCTTGCTGAGTCAGCGGATTTTTGAGAGACCGCCTGTCGAATTTTTTTCGCTCTTATCTTTTGCAGATATATTGCTGAATCTCTGAGGAATCGAGAACTCAGCAAGCGGTCTTCCGAAAAGTCCTGATTGCTTTCCAAAAAATTCGCGAGCGGGGTGCGAGAGATCAGTCCTGACCCTTTTACGAAAACATGCTTTAATCACTTGTTATGAAATTTGACTGTACTCCAAAACGCATGCCACTGTTGGCAGCAATCCAAGGCCAAAGTTCTATATATTTCATCATAATTTCTCCGTCCACTGTCTCCTCATTTGCCGAGTTTTCGCCGTCTTCCTCCTGCGTTCTCATCAACATTTTCCTTTCACCCTGCAGATGAGCATTTCATTTCAGTAATGGTCCAAGAGTTGTCTCATCACATTTTTCAGTCACAGGTTTCGCAGGCAATGAGAAGATTTGGAAATTTTTTGTTAATAATGCACGGCATCGTTTAACATTCTAAAAACATAGGTAGAAAAAGATAGCAAAGCGCCGGCTCAAGAATTATCAATTTACATAATATATTAGGGCACGTTTGCTTAACACGCACTCGCGTTGTTCGTTTCCTTATCATTCAACTTGAAATTGGTCCACTGTAACTTGCTGTTTATACAGGGTTGGGGGAAAGTCTTTGAACACGGTATTTCTAACATAATGATGAAGCTAGGCAAGATGACTACATGAAATATATAGGTAATGTTTACTCAACTGTCTGCTACACAAAACTGGCTTTACAATTCGAAGATTCCTCCTTTGACGCGAACACAAGCACGGAAACTCTTGGAAACGCTGTCCATGGTGGCACGGAGGTGCTTCATGTCGATTTGTGCCCACGTCTTCTGAAGAGTACTTCGCAAAAACTCCACAGTCATGCGTGGGTAAGCGCAGGCTTTAGCCTAAAGAACTGACCACACGCTGTAGTTGGGGGTATTCAGATCCGGCCAATACGGAGGCCATTCCGCAAGAGTAATGAACTCCTTGGTGTTGCTTTGGAGCCATGCTTGAACAAACTTCGCTTTGTACGCAGATGCGCTATCCTGTTGGGGACACCAATCGCTCCTGGCAAAATGGGTATTGGTCCAGGCCAACAATCCCTTCTTCAGGCTGCTCTTCACGTGCGTAGCGGTGTTCATTTCGATGTGCTGGGACACAAAAATTGCCTGCATCTTGCTGTCGGAAGCGATCTCCGCGCATACCATCACAGAAGCCGGATGCAGCTTTCCTTCTTCGAGTCAATCCTTGCTATTGACTTCTGGGGGTGGTTGAGTGATAATTCTGTTGTTTGGTGATCAAAGACATTCTTCGGTGAAAATTTTGACGTAAGAAAAGAGTATCGTTCGGTGGCGTTTCTTGGAGAGACGTTTAAGCAGTCGATGGCATCTGCGCAGCCAGTCCAGTTTCGTATCCTCCCAAAAAGCATGAAATTTTAGCATCCTAAAAAGCTTCATCGCAAGGCCCTTTTTTACGATGCCGGAGATTGTCCTGCCAGAGATGGACAGCTCTGAAGCCAGCTCAGTCAAGCTTCGCCGAGGATTGCGACTAAGACGTTGGCGAACGATTTTCAGAATATTGTTACTGTCCGCAGTAGCCAATTTACCACTCATACAATAGTCCTGGGTGCTGTTCATATCCTGGAAACGACGCAAGTTGGAAAAGACCCTGATCTGTAAAATTTGGAGAGTCCCGCAGTTTGCTGGTCAGCCATCCTCTCCTCATGCATCTTCTCCACCAACGCTCGCTCCATTCCAGAAGGCATATCTCCGGTTGGAAAAAAGCTAATAGTCCAGTATTTTGGGGGCTTGTACTCAAGAGTATAAGAAGCAAACACATATAATTAGCATACAAAAATTTGTGGAATGGCCGAATATAAATGGACATCAAAAGTTGTTCAAGGACTTTCCCCCAATCCCGTATTTCCCAGCCTTTTGCTCAACTGGATCATTTGAGAATTTCAGAACTTGTTTTTAGGGTATGGAGCGAAAACATAGTGATTCACACTCAAGATTGTGCTTTACATGTTGTTCATCTCTAATAAAGGAAAGATACCAACAAAAGTTTGATTGAACAATCGAAGCCGATATGCATATCAACAGACGCGTCTCTAAGCGCTGATTCCAGAGCTGGTTCCTTTTTTTTGTGGAACAACGTTTCGAAACGAATTATGAGCGTTCGTATGCCCAAATTTGCCAAGCTTTAGGTGGTTTAAAATTTGCGAAAAGTTTTATAAAAACATCTAAAGGTGGGTAATTACATTGGATTTAAGCATATTGTCTGCCAGGAAGAATAAAAGCCGGGGAAATTCCGCATAGGAGTTTTCAGAGCTCTCGCCAATTTTAAGCCACTTGATGCTTGACAAGATTGGACATTCAAATGCTCATAACTTCTTTCGATGAGTAGTTCCGCGAAAAAAGAAAGCAGATCTGGCATCAAACGTTTGGAGGCTTCTTGAGATAATATCTTCTTCAGTCGCAACCTTTGGTGGTATCTTCCCTTGTAAGTCCATGATCTCTGAAGCAAGTGTTGTCTATACTCTGTCACCTCTGGTCCAAGCGTAAGTGCATGGAATGAATGGATGTATTTATGATTTTTAAGTGGACTTCAAAATTCCTGCTGCATTTATTCTTTGAAGGCTGATAATAGAAGCAATCACTTTGGCAAACAGGTGCTGAGCAATTCAAGACCAGAAGTGCCATTTCTTGCACTCGGGGGGTTGATCCTTATATCGACGCAGTACGAACATGACGACGTCGAGCATGTTCCTTGTGGTGACTTGCACGAAATCAGGACTGGAGCTGCTTTCTAAACGAAGGTGTGATCATCAAGAGTTGGAATTGATTAAAAGTTATACATTACCTTAACTAAATTCGAAGCAAACACTTCTCTTTTGGCTCGTGAAGTTTGACGGAATGCCGATAAGATCTCGCTGGTAATACAAACCATTTTACCATTTTGGTTGTGTTTGAGAGCTTCTTTCATTGGACCAGCACTATAAAATAAGATTGCAGGAATTGGGCTGTTTCTGACATGACCACAGTTTTATCGCCTACCTTTTCGGTCTCATTGCCATAGAAATAGTCTGATTTTGTGTTCTCCAGTAAATGTCAAACTGTGATAAACCCAAACCAACGTATACTCTTCTCAGCGAACTCAAATGAGGGTTTAAAACTTGAGTGATGTAGTCCGAGACCTATAACAAAAAATGGACTAGTTTCAGTTTTTTAAAACCTGTTTTTTTCTTGAATTTTTTCTTACGAGTAAAGATGAAAAATAAATACGTACGTATGAAGCTAGATCAAAATTGAAAGAGCTTTCGAAGAGTATATAAATGCATTGGAAAGAAAAGCTAAAGCCTCAAAAAGAAAAGCAAAATCAAGCTAACGATCAAGATAAGTAGCAGGATAGAAGAAAATAAAAATAATTAAAGTAAAATGAGAAACAGATAGAAGAATAGAGATAGACTTCAATGGAAATAAGTAGAATAGACAATTAAGAAATAAAAAATAGTTATACTCTATTTTTTAAGGTTTTTTTGAGATTACAAGCAATTTTTTTTGTGTGTCCCCAAACTCAAAATGAAAAATGTGGCCAGCACTATGTTTTTTCTTTCATTATCACAAAAAGGATAGTGACGAGAGATGAATGGTTAAGTAAAGAATTCACCTTGTCTAATCAAAGGGAAGTTCTTTCAAAAGAACTGGAAAGAAAAATTTATAACCAAGTCATTTTCTGCACGAAGAATAAATTAACCAGAAAAATGGTGTAAAGTGTCAATTTTTCTGAATTTCTTACCGTAGAAGGAATGTTTTTCTCTGCGTAAATTTTAGCTTGTTTAGAGAAGGCTTCTGGTAAGAGTGAAGCTGCGCTCAACAAACCACCATATTTGATGTCAAAATCTGCCTTCACCGTGACGTTTGGCTTTAAGGTGAAGTTTTGCCATCGAAGTGCAATGTCTACCTCAGCATTGTTCGTTTCTACACTAAAACAAGATAATTCTAAACCATAATCATCGCCTGAGGGTACTGTGGGGAAGCTTGAGGACTCACGTTATATCGCCCGGTACTCCAGCTTCGAATAAGAGTACTCCAACTTTAAGCGTAACTTTCATGGTAGATTTGAATGTGATGTTGCTCATCTGTAAAATTCATCATTAAAAATTTAAATACCCTGATTAATTTAAATTTACGCTACCTTTACGTGAACACCGTTCTCCATATTTAGCATTTTTACATGCTCTTTTGGAATTTTCAGCTCCACTACTTTGCCTTCCGATATCTCGTAATCCATGAAAGTGTTCTATGCATTGATAATTGAGGCCTGTCGCTTTTTATTACAAAAATTCTTACCCCTTTTGATTTTCGGAAAAACTCTACGGAGTTTACAATCTGTGGGATCACATGCCTTTTGTCGTCTAGTAGATTCCAAATCTTTGACGAAATTGTTAAAGAGAACGGCTCGTTGAAAAGTTGAGCGCTGTCATCACATCTGAATATAAAAAAATGCTTTTAGAAACCTAGTAGTGAGCTTTTCTTACGGAATCCCCTCTGGATAATGTTCAAAAAGATAAAAAAATCTATCTTATTAAAATTTTTGATTTAGCTCTTTGAAACACTCCACTCGTCCTGCAACAACGCTCACACATATACTTATCGTCAGTCAAAAAAGTCAAATTATGGTGTTAACCATGGTACCATTTCAAACAAATGACCGGAACTTGCGCAGAACGTTTGGGAAAGTTCGCCGGATCACCTGCGGAAGTTCCTAAATGAGCTGCTGCGTAATTTACGAAGAATGCAAACCACAACAGCAAAAGCGAACACCTAAGCAAAATTTGAACCTTAGTCTGCTGGCTGCGAGACTCCTTACTACCCTCTGCACTACTGATGACATGTTCGATAGTGCTCTCTAGTTGTTGACGAGGCAACATCGTACGAGATAACACATTCAAAAATCTGCGGAAGTACTGGCATGTCAAATGCGGAACCGCTACCATTTTTCGGAAGTTCCGCAGCGCTTCGTAAAAAGTCCTGCGGAAGGTTCCCTTGTAAACCATTCTGTTGTGAAAATCCTGCGGAAGCTCCCATTTCCAACGATTCCACTTTTGCAATGCTAAACAAAATCCTGCGAAACCGCTGCAAATTTCACTTGTCCTGCGGAATTTCCGGTAAATTGTCTGAGATGGTTTCGAAGAAATGTTGTGAAATAATGCTGTATTGCATTATATAACGCCCCGGATCACAACATCTTTTGGTAAAAAAGTGAATGAAGTGATCAATGCATTGCCTTTTTGAATTGGGTTCAGAATCAGTAATGGTGCTAAAGGAAGGACAGCATCAAGTATTTCCAAAAAAAGGTTCACGCACCCTCTTCCGTCTACTGTTGCTTTGTGTGCACAGCGTCATGTAAAATTGTTGATTATCTTAAAGAATGAAGCAAAAAGTTTTCCAGTGCCACTGAAGAAACATAGTTAAACCACCGCTTTTCCTTAGTATGAAATCTGGAGTCATGATACTGCAGTGGTTGCACCTAACGGGTAACGAAGCAAGGTCAGTTGCGATAAAAACTATGGATTTCAAATTGAAAATATCAAATCTAATATCGGTACGCTTCATTCTTTAAGATGTTCAAATACCAGCATCTCCCTTTTTAAGTAAATAAATTGAATGTCACTCAACAGCATTGCCTGTTTGAGATCCCAGTAAAAGAAAGAGATTACGTTTTACAGTATCGCGATGCAGCTCTTCACTTTGCAGTCTAGCTACTAAAATTGTAAGTCTAAAAATTCCAACATGAACGTTCTTAGACGTGTGTTTTTTTACTATGTCTCTAACCCACGAAAGCCTTACAATATGGTGCTTAAAAATCAGCGGAAGCTGTCGAAACAAGAACGCGAGGACAGTGTTTCGGCAATAATTCGTCTTCAGTATTTACCTTTTCGGAGCGGAGCCTTTTTGCCATGAGGAATCCTTATCTGGGCTTTTCAGCGCATGAAAATGGCGAAAATGAGCTTTTTTTGAAGCTTTCCAATTCCGGAATCAGTGATGAATACATCTACGTGGGCGGGGCACGGAATGAGGGAGGCGGGGCACCAGAGACTTCCGCGTATCTTTACTGAATGCAGTTCTGGAAAGCTTCAAAAAAAGCTCATATTCGCCATTTTCATGCGCTGAAAAGCTCAGAAAAAAAGGAAAAGGAAAAGGAATTCTTATGGTGAGATGGCTCCAAAAGGTGAAAAAATAGGGAGCAAGGCGACGTGCACCGTAAATTTTTTTGGGATCCTTTCCAGATATTTTGCTGGCTTATAATTCGGAATCTTTCAAGTTTTCTTAAAGCAAGCTGAAGTTTATGAAAGAATGCAAAAAAATCATTGTCATTTACGAGTATGTGAAAGCCGCCGGTAATTCCATGACTTATCTTTAGGGCCGGGCATACTACACGCGATTTCAGCCGCGACGCAATTTGGCAGTTTGCCAGGAATCTTCAGATCCAACACTAGCAAACTGCACATGCATAGTATGTATAACTTACGTGGAATGTTAGAATGCCCTAGCTTCTATGCAATTAAAATGTGCTTACAATGAGTTAAGACAGTTGGAATATTGCCAAATCGCGTCGCGGTTAAATTCGCGTGAAGTATGTCCTTATCAAACCGCTTATTAATTGGAATTGATCAATGCTTGATGAGATACTCTCATGTGTTACAAATGCGTCAACTTTTTCTGCAGAACCAAATTTGAAAGATTGTGTGCAAGTTTTCTGCTCGAATAAAATTCTACATATCAATGCTGCAAGAGTACAGAATCCACTTACATTACTGATGCCACAAGGAGAGGTACTAGATACAGAATGAGCATGAGGCCGAGGATTTGCACTGATTGATGACAAAAAAATGTCGCTGACTTTTATATGGTATTGTCTCTAGACTGTTTTTCATAAGTACAAAGTCTAAGCATCACAGCATTTCAGTTGACGCAGCCGTTTCCAAGGAACAATTAGCTTAGAGGAACAAAAAAAGTTCAAAGACAAAGGATATTGTAGTCAGAGTCCGACTAGTAAAAGATCTACTATAATTGTACGATCACTACCTAGATTTCTAATTCTGTCATGTAGTTTGAGCATCTTTTCTGTATAACATTTTAAATGGCATGGAATTGCCTGCGCTCGAATAAAATGCAATAAATTTTGTTTGTGTCGTGAGATGGCGCAACTTTTTGTCGTTCAGTCTTAGGCAACAAGTTATGCGACCAAGCATAAACCATCGTTATATATGAATTTTAATAGCAAGTTCGCTGGTGTCTATTATTTTTTGAGCGAAACCCATTCACAAAAGCTGAAGTGCAGGTTTGGGAACTTTGTTTCAAAAAACCAAAAAAACCTGCACGCAAATCATATCCTAATGCGCCAAAATTCTTCTATTATCTTCAGAGTACCGAATTTATTAGAATTTGAAAGTTGTTGCATTTCATTCGTATTAGAAATTTCTCTCACCTAATTTAAGGAAATTCAAGCTAATATCATTTTCCAGACACAAGAACGAACTATACTCACAAACTACAATCTTTACAATCTACCTTTACTGCTCTTTGTACCTCTCTGAAATTATTCTAACTTCATAAACAAACTTAGGCCCGTATGCACGTACATCCCCGCGGGGAGGGGAGGGGATCTGAGAGGGGAAGCGTCATATTTCGCTACTCTGTATATCTTTCGTTTTCCTTCTTTATCTGTGATATGAAGATTCTCATACCCTAATACCTGTGCATAATGGATGCCAGGTTACTGCCGTACAAGATTAGATTTTCACAAGTTTGTGTGATCCCCTGGGGATCCCCAGGGGATCACCCAAGCTGGTGAAAATCTAATCTTGTATGGCAGTAACCTGGCATCTATTACGCGGAGGTATCAGGATATATGAAGCTTCATATCACAGATAAAGAAGGAAGAAGAAAGATATACGGAGTGGCGAAATATGACGCTTCCCCTCTCAGATCCCCTCCCCTCCCCGCGGGGATGTACGTGCATACGGGCCTTATAGTGTTCTAGAATAGACTTTCAAAATGATCTAGAAACGCACGAGATCAACATTTTATTAGAGATACTGTTCTACATATTAGTCCAGATAGCCAATGATTTTCACTCGACATACATTCCTTTTTACTCTTCTGGTGTAAGTAGCCAGTGCGTCTCGACAGCGCCTTTACCCTGAAAATATGGTGTAAAATGAGCAGTTATATGAGATATTTATTTTAATCGGACAGCATAGGAAGATATAAAATCTAATCACAAAATTTTTTCAAGCTCACTTACCAAAAGCGGATTAGTATTATCTTTACAAGCTTAGCCTAAGAGCATTAAGCGACAATACTCCTCAAACTTGGCCTTTCTCAGATTCTACTGATTTTCAAATAGTTACCAGAAAAGTAAAAATTTTCTGTTCAATGGAATCAGTGCTCATGCACTTTGCTTCATTTTTCATAATCATTCTTGCAAATGCACAATAACATGATTACCCTTTGATTCAACTGGATTGGCGGACGGAAGGCGGAACTTCGTAACCTAATTAATGCTAGATAATGATCAGAGAGCACGCCCGCGAGGGGGACGCAGACCACGTAACGGGCGTGAGAAGCCTTAATCAGGTCACAAAGCCCCGCCTTCCAGCCGCCAAGCCAGTTGAATTATGGTTACCTTCACTATGACTTCTCCTCTAGGCTCAGTCTTGTAACCACCGATTACCTCCGTCAAAAATTTCATTGTTTCGGTGGAGATGTGCACTCGTCCAGCTACAAATCATCATAATCGTAAAATATGTAAATTTCAGGCACGATGCTCACGTTTTCCATTGCTTTCCATTCGACTTGCTGTATTCACAGCATCGCCAAATAAACAATATCGGGGCATAGTCATTCCCACTACGCCAGTCACAACCGAGCCTAAAAGTAACACCAGAGCTATAATTTCTCTAAAGATTCTATACAAGAGATTCTGACCCGTATGTAACCCCACACGAATGCTGATCTTCTCGTTAGGTAAATGAGGCACTCGGAATTTTTGTATAGCTCTGAGGAGCTCGAACGACATCTCCGCAACTTCCTTCGCATGTTCATTGCCGTTTCGATGCGGTAGACCAGAAACGCAAAGGTAGCCGTCACCGATTGTTTCGACCTAGGGGGAATGTATCACCTGATTGATATGGGTACTGTTTTTCTTCAAGTAACCATTGCGGAACAATTACTTACCTTATAAACATCATGCTCGTCTATAATCGCATCGAAAAGAGTATAGAGATCGTTCAGTAAATTAACAACCTATAAAAAGATATTGTACTTTTTTGGAAAACCTCGTTGTAATGTACCACAGTATATGGTCCATTTTTGTCATGTCGCTCTTCCCTCACTCCTATCCCTCAACACCTTTATTTGTCCCACTTCTTCGTACACACCAGCGCTTTGAGAATTACAAACTCCTTCTTGATTCTTCCCCATCCTCTTTTCCCTACTCCACCCCCATCGCGCAGTAAAGAAATTAGTTAAATTCTTACCTGTAGCGGTGTACATCGACTAGCCAAAGTCGTAAAAGAGACAACATCGGAGAAAAACAACGTCACACATTCGAAAGTTTCTGGTTCGACAGATTGGCCCATTTTTAGTCGCTCGGCTACTTGTCTAAATTTCCCCTTCATGAAAAGAAATGATAAAGATGTAAATAGAACAAGTAAAACCGACTTCGGCAGCATTCGGTAGAGCAACACGTCACTTTTCTTCTTCTCTTCTGTAAGTTCTTTCATTCTGGCTTCCACCTCAATGATTGAGATAAAATTTGGTAGATGCAGGAAAATGGGTGGTACCTCTTCTTCTAGGTTAGATGCATACTGTTCCAAGACGTTGAAAACATGATCCATTAGGTTTGAAGACCTAAAGAAAATTTTTAGGTATTTTTCAAACTACTGTATTTGGGAAGAAAATTGTTGAAGTTTTCACAGTGGTTTCTAGTGCGTCCACTAAACTTCATTAATAGCTCCTGCATAGACTTGTGTACAGCAAGCCCAATCTTCTTGCATTTTTGTGGAAATTATTAAACTTAGTAAAAATTCAGGCTTTCCAAAAGACCCTGTCTAAAAAATATTCGATACATATGGTGCAATTCTTTGAAATAAAACTCTTGATTTTACAAGCCCGTGACTAAAAAAGCAACCAACTTGTTATGGTTCATGCTTTTGATGAGCGACTTCAGCTGATCACATGATGGTCTCATTTCAATTTCTTCACTCCAGCAATCTTTCACGAGCAGTGTGAGGCTAGAATTGTGCTCGTCTTCGGTCTCCAGTGAGGGCCGAATAGGAGAACGTCCACCGCGCTTGATCTTATAAATCATCTCTATAAATGTTGTAATTCTCGTGCAAGCTGATTTACTTCCTTTCTCTTAACGATCTTGGTTTCCTGCTTTTATTTATTTTTTTAAAACAATGAATACTGAGCAATTTTACACTGGTAATATGGAAAGCTCTCCCTTTTCTGAATTGGAGTCCTAGATTTCCACCATAAACTGGAGAATAACTTTTCGTAGTGGCTGGAGGGCGCAGCACTGTTTTCTTATAATCTGCGACTGCAGTCATCATTTCTCAAAATGTACTGCGCCTAGAAGAAGATAAATGTTATTCTTTCGTTTTTAGCGAAAGGACACGTGCTATAAAGGGTGAAGGGGGAGGGCCGCTTGATCACCTGATCCTGCCGCTTGTGCAAGGACCAGTTGATCAAATAAACTCCCTATTTTGACGGCAAGTGAGCGTTTTTGCTCGAATTCGAAATATTTTGAGATGAGAGGGGAGCTGCAGGATCAATTATCCACCTATTTTTAAGTCTAAACGCAGACCTACAACGAAGTGACTACTTTCTTTTTCCCGCTATTGTTTATTCGTTCTCTTTAATATTTTTAAATTTGGAAGTTTTTCACCGTTTTCTTCTTCGTTTAAAATCGCCAAAGCTTCCTACTTACCGTCAAGATCGTAATCCTGATTTTCAAGGTTCCATGCCGATTTTTTTGTTATAATTTCTGAGCATACGATGCCGAAGCTGTAAATACTATGTACAATTTTGGAGGTTCAATGTGATCGACAGCTAGATGCGTTTCGACTAGGCCAATACATTTACGGTACCTGTAAACATCTCCTTCTTTAGTAGGTGGCAATGTGGGATCTCTAATATGTTCAGGAGCTACCCACAGGTTGTCTGAAATTGGTGGTACATACTCGTGATTATTAGACATGAATTTCAATTTGACTGTGTAAAATTCTAAGCTAAATTTCACCTTTCTGTTCCCTTGCTTCCATCGCTTTCATTGCATCAAGTCCGCAATATGTGATTTTTATCTGCAAGCACTATATATGGAGGAGAAATTACTAGAAACGGATAAACTACCTGCCATCTCTCGTCTACAAGACATGTTCCAGAGCTGATCCAGCCGTGAGCACCTATTGAATGGTGAAGATAATAAATTCCCTAAAGAATTTTGTTCAGTGATTTATGTCATATTGTCAGCTAGTCGTGCGCTGTGAGCTTAAACTGATGATTACAGTGCTTAAAGACACTTTATACGTAGTTTATGGGCTAGAATCTTATATATAAAGCTGAATGTGTGTCTGTACGTCTGTATGTCTGTATGTCTGTATGTCTGTATGTCTGTATGTATGTATGTATGTACGTATGTGCGGGATAGAAATTTTTATTTCTGAACCGATTTGACCAAACTTGGCACACACATACTTCGGGGCGGGAAGCGTGTCATAGGCCACTTTTCGTTATCGATCGATATCGATCTTATCAATTTTCTGCAAAACTTGAGCTACGGGCTGGGAGTTGGCACAGGGGGTAATCGAGCATGCTGATTACAAATATGTTATTGACAGGGGGGCGGAGCCGGGTTTGCCAACTAGTACTTTAATAAATGCCACAGTAATAGCAAAATTTGTGCGCAGTAAAGATCTCTTAAAATGTAGGCACCAACTCAGTGAAATATCAAAAAAGTAAGGGTTTCAAAAATGTGCTTTTCCTTGGCGAGGTACAAAAATTGCTTGTTGGTGATTTGCCATATTTTCTTTCAATCCTACTGTTGACTGTTGAGCAACCTATCTATGCGAAGCATGATGCTACAATACATAATTTATGATTTTCAAGCATAATTATGATTTTTTTACCTCGCATATATCCCTAATAAGCGAATACTTGAAAAATCAATCCATTTGCAATGATCCCTTCGCAATAACGTTCTAGAAAAAGTGCTTCATTTTCGTTCATGTCCGGGAATAAAAGCTACCTTCAAAGATCCTCTTGAGCAGTATCTCCAAATGGACATCAGCTGTGGTCCGTCAACGCTAAGACCAACAAACTTGCAGATGTTATCATGGTCTACGTTTTGCATCTGAATGAAAAAAACAGCTTTGTGAGGACACAATCTATCATGTAGGCAAATATCATCCAGAGATTGCCATTCCCGGCTTGAAGACACAATTATACTTTGTGTAATTTTGAGGACTTTAGATTAAGGCACTAATAAAAATCTTGAGTCTCTTTGGTCAAGAAAAAGTGGGGTAAATGGGAAAAGCATCATTGAACCTTTCTGAGCTGAGTACATTCCGATTTCTTCAGCGCTGGTCTACCAGTATGCTTCCGTGCAACCACGGAATCATCACCAATGAGGTAGAACGAATGTCTTTCGGTATCCTATAACAGCACTGCCCTTCAAACAATGGACTAATCGCTCTGCTAAACAAGTTTGCAACCTTCTTTGAGTCGATCGTCACTTTTGTGCTTGTGGTTATGGTACTCTGAAGCGATCGCGAACTATGTACATCACTCTAAAATAGAATCAGATCATAAGTTAAAGATTTAAGGCATAGGACTCAAAGTAATGGCCTGGCATCAAGGCGCTTGACATCAACAATTTCTGTCGTTTCTCTCCTTATTCTCACAGAAATTTCTTTGTGAGGACTTTGGGAACTCAATACCAGAATTTTCATTTTTTCTGTCTGTGAAACTTGCAGATCGCTTCAGTCAATTTCAGATTTGATATATCTGTGATACGATAGTATTTACAGAGTAAGCACTTGAGTAAAGCAAAATATGACGTGGAGTGGATGGAGTAGAAGGGGGGGGGGGCTGATATCTGAAGCGCGTCATTTGCCGGACGTCGCGAATACTGTCTCTCTCTCTCGTAGCTTGACCACACAAAAATTTTACCTTAATAGCGGGTTTTTGTAGTTTTAGGTACGGTATTTTCCAGAGAGCATTCAAACGCTCTTCCTCATTTCTGCGGAACCTAAAATGTATTTTTTTGGCAAATATTAACTTGGAATTGAATGAGCCAAACGAACCTCAGAATAAAGAAAACTGCAGCTGCGATGATGAGTATCGGAACCACGACTGCTACTATAGTGATGACTAGGTATTGCTCAGCAAAACTTGGTGGACAAGCACTCCTAAAATGGTTCGAACACCTAATTCTACAGCCAACGAGCAAATGTTTCATAAAGGTGCTAACCCATCAAAATCACATTTAAAACGATTGCGAGGTGCCGAACCACCATGATTTGCCCAAATTACAGACGATGGTTGTAATTCTTCAATCTATCAACAACAACGTAAGCGAAGCTTTTTAGGGAAATAAACTACTGAAGCTGACTAGTGCTATGCTATTGTTCTCCAGATCTTCCGTTATTTCCATTAAAAGGATTTGCTTGTCGCTGGGATCCAAGCCATATATGTAAAATACAGGATCTCGTGTTAGATTGTCGTTGATTACCACAGTTCCGGAAAAACCTGAACATTGCTTAAGATCAAAGTTATGGAGGCCCCAAGGAAAAATAATCACCTTGAAAGGTCCCTTTAGCATATGGTGCTAGCTGAGAACCTGTAGGTTTCACATAACCAGCAGTGAGAGATTTATTCAAAGCATAAGCATATAATAACATCGCATCGGCCAGTTCTCCTGCCTGGGAACTTGCCTGCAAAATTCTCATTTTCTTTTTTAGTCTCGAACATTGTACCGATTTTATCTTGTTTTTTACAGGAACTGAAATTAATCCTCTGACCAAACCGTATTCTGTCCTTATATTAGTCTCTTAAACCCCTCCCTGAGATGAAAGTTTTTTTCTTGGAAAGTGTGGCCAGCAAACGTGGAAAAATTAAAAGTGTTCTTGAATCTGGCGGAACTGTTTCTATAGACCCCCTTCCGAGATGATTGGGATTTTTAAAGGTGTGGCTTACCTATATGAACTATCAAAAATCATCCCGTTTTAATCTGTAGGTAATCAAAACGATTTCCTTGAAGAAACTAACATTATTAAGAAGGCACTTTTCTTATACGTATTCCATATAAGCTTGCGAAAAATCAAGAGACTTCTCAGAAAGATTTTGCAGATGTTTTTAACAACCCTGATTCGGGTAGAAAAATTCGCACGCTTATTCAAGGTCAGTCATTGAGATATTTTTGAAATCGCTAAAACTGTTCTGAGTAAAGAATATTGGACACACCCTCTAACAAATGTACAGCGGTCAATATTTGGCGTTGATTTTGTAAGTGTTCGATAATTATAGACTTCGTGTACCTGAATACTTGCTACATCGAGATTCGTGCAATCTGTACAATTGAATGGTGGTAGTTGAACTCTTGCTATCACTTGAGCCACAAATTGTGTAGTCGAATTGAGTGGCTGCGAGTCAATCTATAATCAAAGACTCAAACTGGAGATATCTCCTTTAGAAGAAACTTCAACTTATCACAAAAAAGTTTCTTGCCCCACTAAGCGCAACACTGTCTTTTCCATCGGGGGTGGTTTTACTTCTCCACTCTTCGTCTAGGGTTAGAAGGATATTCATACATCAAAATATTAAGAGCGCAAGAATCACGCACTGAAGCCAAGCTTCCGAGTTTCAATCAGAAGATAGATGTATTCGTTGGTGTTCATGCGCTCCTCGGCAACAGCAATGTAGAAATTTCTACGTGCTTCAGGCGATTCCAGACAGACCACGGTTACTGAATGGTAGGCTTTTAGGTTACCTAACAATGAATAGATATTCAAAGACAGAAGAATGATGAAGGAGATCAAAAGTTCTTCCAATTTTTGAATAATAGTGAATGTCATCAGAATAAATGTATTATTGACAAGAGACTTTTCATAGGGTAGATAGAGCTTCCGAATGGAGTTGAATGCGATTTTTGCACAATAAGTTGTAAATCGTAAAATAAATTTTACCAAACTTTTTACGTCTTCTTCTACAGAACTCCAGAAGTTTTCCGTAAGCGGTATGAAAGGACAAAGGACTATCAATAGGCATTAGTTTCACCCTCAAGGATGAGTACAGCAGATATAAAGGCTAACGGCACTTGAACGTATAACTTTTGCACCAAACCTATATTATCTTATGGAAGATCTCAGTTATTAAATTTTCAATTACTTTGTTTTTTTTTCTTTTATATGAATTTTCTTAAGCAACAGTACTATTAGGAAGGAATTTCGGAACAAATTCCTCAATAACATAAATTGGGATTTTGCCGGTAATAATTCGAATTGAAAACGAGTTAAAAAATTGATTTTGTGACTGTAAGGATTGAAAAGTTGCAACCCTCCAGGTACATATTATTATACCTGAGAAAAATCAGTTGAGAAAGTCATGCAGATTTTTTCTTCAAGTGTAACAGATCTTTAGCTAGACCCAACGATTTGTTGAACACGAATTTACCTCGAGAGACTTTTTTGACAGCTTTCAGGACCTCCTTAAAAGTATTGTTTGTGAAATTCTGCACTTGGCGGCGGTATGTAATCGTCATATATTCCTTGTCATTCATGAGGTCCTGGAAAGAAGCATGTATGGGCAACATCACATCGTTCATTGAAAGGAAAATACTTGTAACAATGATTTGCATACGTAATGTCTCAGACAAGTGATCGGATCTTCCTCAGAGCGCTTGCGGAAGTTCCGCCGGGTCACCCGCGGAAGTTCTGGAAACATGCTGCGGAAGTTCCGAAATGAGGTTCTGCGGAGGTTTCGAAGAATGCCAACCACAACAGCAAAAGAGAACACCGAAGCGAAATTTGAACCTCACTCTATTGACTGTGAGACCCACCTACTATCCTCTACGCTACGGTTGACATGTTCGATAATGCACTAGTTGTTGGTGAGGCAATATCACGAGACAACACATTCAAAGTTCTGCGGAAGTTCTGGCATGTCAAAGTGCTGCAGAACCTCCGGTATCATTTGCGCAGGATTTTGAAAAAGGTTCTGCGGAAGTTCTGGTTTTCAACGCTTTCATTTTTGCAATAGTGAACAAAATGCGGAACTTCTGCCAATTTGGCTTGTCCTGCGGAAGTTCCGGTGATTTGCCTGGTTGCATTAATATTAGGTTGGTGCAAAGTTAATGTCCGATTTTAGGCTAATTTTCGAACAACTTTTTTTTGTCAAACTTTCTTTCTCGATATAGATTTTGCATATCATTGAAAGCATTCTTCATGTACTTTCCAACAATGTGCAATTAGGCTTTCATCCCCATCTGTGAGAATATCACCATCATTCTTCCAACCCGCAGTCAAAATCGAAACTTTATCGCTTTCACATTCTTGGCCACATTTCAGGAGCAGATAAACGAATTCTTTGGAAAATAAGTTACTATATGGGGCAAATATTGTTTAACTATTGCATGCATAAGTACATTTTTCGAAAAAATCTGGACTGTGAAATCGACGTCCCAAAATTGATGCTCACTTCTGGCGTTCTATGGATCAAAAATTTCTCGTCATTAAGCAATCGCCAAAGCTTCGCTCATTTCTATAAGCTTGTGATTGCGATATCTTGTCTACTTTTCTTTCCAAAAACCCTTAGCTATGCAGTGCATAAAAATTTTTGAATTTCCATAATCTGGCTACAGAACAAGCTGATTATCAGCCATAGGAGCAAAACTTGAAGGGAGTTGTAAACATTCAGAAGTTTCCAGAAGAAAAACTTCTCTTTCTTGGCGCGAGAACTTCCTATTTATTTGTCCATTTTTGAGAGCATAGTGTCAATTATGCCCGATACTATAAGTGGTTTTTGACAATTTTTACCCTTTAGTGAGTAAAAAATGTGTTTGGGATGTACTTTGACCTTGTCTGGGAATATCTATTTTGCCAATATCTCGCATTAAGAAATGTGAAAAAAAATTACTTCCAAATCGGAGATTATAAGGGAGCAACGAGGTATCAAATCGCTTCTGGCCGCATAAAACACCACGGCTATTTCTTTCCATTTGAATCGTTCGAAAAGACGGGTAAGAGTCCGTGCTTGACTAAAAAATACATCACGAAAAGTCCCTTATGAAAAATCTCTAATCCACTTGTTCGAACTCCAGGTCGACGACAAAACCGTTGGGTAATCGTCAGTGCTCAACAGTGCTGACGTAAACATTCCAGCCCACACAACAATGGGGAAATTGTAGTGTTTTGCTACCGTTCCGGATACCAATGCTGCTGAAATAATTAAATTCAGTAATGGACAAAATTATTCGAATTTACGCACATGCTGAGCAAGCAGGTCCCAAGACGACATCGATTCCGTTGTCAATCCAATCTATTACTGATCCAGCATCTACAGGTTCGAAGCAATCTCCCATCACCCAGGTCAAACTAAAGAGGAAAATTAAAAACTATAAAAAGCGCAAATTCTTCATGTAGTAAGTAATCAAGGGGAATTTCCTGGCATAAGTTGAAAATTTTTTGGACTCTGAAGAAATCAAGATAAAACGCGTTTTCCCCTTTGCTACGGTAGCCATTTATGTCATCTTCGCGTTTTTTGAAATGAAATCCATTTTACATAGACTCACTTTAAGGTATAGCCTGGTAAAATCTTATCGTCTTCGATTTTATCCCAAGCCACTCCAACAGCGCCCGCTGTTTGCCTCCAGCCAATATACTAGAAAAAGTACTGTGTTACTTTGTTGTTCTTTAAGAAAGGATTTTTTTTCAGCCAAAAAATCAAGGAAGACGGTTTCATCACCTTTGTCAAGAATTTCAATTTTCAAGCTTAACTTATTCTAGACGTGCTCAGTTCTTCAAATTCTTTTTTTTTTGCAAAAACTGATCTCACCGTTGTAAGGCTGGTGTCATGGGCACTGAGCAGACCGACATTTAGTACCTGAAACGATACAAAAGTGCTATGTAAGGTGAAATGAACAACATCCACGACAATTAGACTACAGTACCATCTTATTCCTCTTGAGAGAAGAAAAAACGGATTGCGCCAGATTGTTCGATGGTATTATTTGTGATAAAATGTTGCGTTCATAACTTTCCCAGAAATTCCAAGGGTGGACGGCTTTTGAAAAAACTTCGGATAGCTTTGTTTTTAGACTACTTGTTGCCACAGCAATGCGAAAAGTCTCTAAAACGCAATTTTTGGTTTGAGTTCTAAGACAGTATAATGGTGAAGGTTGTGAAAATAACGTATCAAAAAAAACTTCTTATACATCTGTTATAAATTTGCGTTCATTTCTGAAAATGCCCTTGTCATTCGTTTCTATTTGCTATTGTTTTCATGTACATAAAAAAATCACAAGCAGTTCCTTAGCGACGATCAATGATCAAAACTTGAGCTGCCGCAATGCTTTTTTCAAGAATTAGAAGCGTTGTAGATAGGAAAAATAGTAAAAGTTACCTTTGTTAGCGTGGTGACGACGCATGCGCTATAAAGAAACAGTTGTTTCCACATTGACTCTAGAAGGTGCCAGTGGAACGACTGCTTTGCGGTTCATAGTAAGACTTCGCGGATGTGATTGTTTAAAACCTGCATGTCCTATATTCAACACCATGCGTCAGCGTTTGAAATGTCAATCGTCAAAGAGTAAAGTTGCCTCTGATTAGTCTCTTGCGGAAGTGCTTCAACAAAATTGAAGTTAAGCGAGATGACTCACGAGAAGAGCGGCTAAATCTATCTTACATCTATTTGTCTGTTTGTATGTAAGTCTACAGAGTGTCCCAAAAAGATGTGCACACTGTTTGATCATTAATAACTCTCTTTCTTTCATGTCTCTTACCGAGCTTGAGGGTACCATCCTGTAGAGGGCCATTCAATTTAGATTTACAGTATGGAGCGAATCAGCAGTCACTCTTCATTACTGTAGGATTACGGTATGGAGTTTCAGCCTACAGCGTCACTGTGGAATAGGCCTTTTGATGAAATAATTTCAAAAAAAAAACTGAAAATTGTGTAGCAAGGTTTTCAGGTGTGCTGATTTCACTACATGACTTTTCATGAGTATTTTGAGCTTTCTTGATGGCGTATTCACTTTCTGATGAACATTGAAGAACGATGCTAGCCTAAATCTGAAATAACTTATGAAAGAAGCACTATACTGGAGTGCAATTTTCATATTCAGTGTCAGCGACTTCGATTAGCCCACTTCAAAGTTTCTGGCTTGTTTGGCTTTCTTTCTGAGGCAAAATACCGGCAAAATACGCTTTTATTGGCATGAAATCCTCCTCGAAGTTCCTACCTAAATATTACAGTATGAAGATAGATCGATCATTCGCTTCACACAGCAAATCTAAGTTGAACCTCGCTCTACAGAATGGCACCTCATGCTCGACAGAAGACATAAAAGCAGGAAACGATCAAACAGTGCGCACATCTTTTTGAGACATCCTGTATATGTGTGTGAGTGTGTACGTATGTGCTAATGAAAAATTTCATTTTTGAACCGATCAAGACCGAACTTTGCACGCATACACTTCGGAGACGGCTGGTGCCATAGGCGATTTTTCACTAACAATCGATGTCGTTCTTATTTCGCAGACTTCGATATATGGGCCGTGGAATTAGTACAAAAGTTCAGTGAGCATGCTGGTTACGAATATAGTAACCGTTTGGAAAAATGCTTTTTGCTTCTATTGAATTTATCGATTGCAAACTTTGTAAGAAAAACAGAATCATGTGGCATTGGGAGAAGAAAGACAGGATGATGTTGTGTGAAGATGCGACGGAATGGCGTTCCATCATGGTTCTTTTATGGAGTGAAGTTAGGTATCCCAGCTAATAATAACGGGCCAAGTTTGTTGCGTCTGTTTGTTTGCTATATGTGAATGACTGTCTAGAAATTCGTGAAGCGAGTTACAGCTAGAAATATAACAAATCCAAATGGATTTTTTTGCAAGGATTCATACTAAGCCTTTTTGCATAGGCGCGGACTGTTGAATTTGGTTCTGCAAGCTCCAAACTCAAGTAGTCAGGCAAAAATGCGATTTTTGCACAAAAGACCAGAAAATTTGAACAGCCCAATTTGAACAGTTAATTTATGGAGCTTTCACTCAAAACTCCAGACATTAATCAATGACTTTGCAAATATATCAGGTTGGCACATAAGTTTTGCAACTTCTTCTTATAACTCGTGTGTTTTGCGATGTAGCGCTTCTATTTTCTGGTATTATAATGAGTATCGTGCTAGCAGTGAAAGCAACCATTCCTGCCGTATTCCAACATCACGTTCGAGAGTTACGGTAAGGCAATTTTTGAATGGGAAAGAAAAAGGAATTGGCACGGATTAGGGTGAAACTTGGTCTAAGGGGGTTATTCGACATCCTGATTACGAAAATGATATTCATTTTGCTTGAAAATATTATTTTGCTGCGAAAAAGTTGAATTATAAAAAATCACTAGGCTAATTTTCGACTCTGACAGAAATTGAATATGATATTCGTATTCAGCATGTCAAGTTACCCCATCGTGCAAAGTTTCGCCAAAATCCGACGATTCTGACTCTTTGGCATTGATGAATTATCCAAGCTACTTTGACGCATTAGACTTGTTCGAGTTTATGAAATCGCCAGATTTCGATTTAACAATGAATCACAATTCTTTTTTCGCTAGATTCAGTAGCCACCCTCTGAGAACATTTTGTCTACAATTTCGGCTAAATTTGGTTAACTTACTTTCTGTAGGTCTTCATTTTTGCTAAAAAACCACAAAACCTCAATTTTGACTGCTTTTAGGAGAAGACGCAGATTTTTTCTACTTTGCCACAAAAAATCAAACAGTTTGCGCAGATTTATAGCGCACTTCCGAGTCTGCAAAATACCAAAATTTGAATGCGCCTCATTCATAGAGAAAGAAGTTATGGACAAGGTTGCAAAACTTATGTGCCAACCTATTACATAAGCCGTCGAACCTGCTCCTCGTTGAAAAGTGAAATTGCTTTCACGCTGAAACATTTCTACTCAATATCAAACCAAGTCAAAGCCATCGGAAGAGATAGTTGTTTCCCTCGATAATGATCATCATTGCTAGGTAACTTCCATGGTATTAGGTTGTAACATAAGTCTTGTCACAATTTGAATTCTTATGGCGAAAGTCATGCATTTCATAGTTTTAATAGGGCTCCAGGGTACCATTCAATAGAGCAAAGCAAGCTCTACAAGATGGTCTGCAAAAGTTCGCACCAGCTTCGATCTCCCGTAAGTTTGCATCCAAGATGTGAGTCGTACTGAAGGCTCAGAAAATAGCGAGAAATCCATATGCTTAAGAAAATTCTATGAATCTCAACTTGCTCACGAAAATTGCACTTTCAGACACTCATATGCACCTTTTCTCTATTCCTCATTTGGAATTCGAGAAAACAAAGATTTTCATGTTTAAGCAAAAAGGAAGCTATGCTGTTTCCACTCATGTAATTGTGTGCTAGAAGCATGACTGTAAATTTTCAGATTTCCGCAGTCCCTAGCTTTGAAGGCTACCGAATTGATTAAGATGTCTCATAATTTTTACCGTTTTTATTACAACCGTCGTCTTTTTGTATGTTTCCATCAACTGATGTGGCTTAAAGGCAGTGTCCCGGCAGATTTTGCATTTCCATCTTTTTGCATGTTTTGGGCCTCTTCGACCCATAGATCCCAAAATTGAGCTTTGAAACGGTCGAAAAGACCTTTTTCGGGACGGTCACCAATTTCCAGAAGGCAACTCGGACGAGAGTTTGAATGGAAAATTGGGAGGCCCCGGCACGAAGACCCTGCCGCCTGTAATTTTTGCTTTAGCATGCACAGTGCGGAGAGCGGTAGTGGGGTCTCGCAACAGGTAAGAGAAGTCGTCCGAGAGCGCGCCGATTGGGGTTGCGCGCGCCGGTTCGAGGGCCATTTTCTCGGCGTGGGGGGAACATCAACCAACCGGACTGGGCCTGGGGTTAAGTGAGGTGACCAGGAACCCCAAAGCAGCTATATCCCCTGAGGTGCGAATCTGCTGGGACTCTGCGTTTAAGTAACTGTTCGACAGAGCAAAGCAAGCTCTACAAGTTGGCTGTCAGTAGTCTGCCCAATTCATATTCCAGCTAAAGTTTTGAGCTGAAATATGACAGCGGTCAAAAACGAACTTTACCGTAAAAAATCTCATCTCGGCCCTAAAAAATCTTAAAAATTCCTTCCCCCCCCCCTCCCCTCCTTTTTAGCATATGCTTGACACATCGAACATTCACTTGTACACTTCCCGTATTTTCTGCATGGTTAGAAATGAAGAAAAAAATGAATGGAGTAAAATGGCAAACTCCGCACGTAGAGATCCCAAGCTCTTCCCACACACGTGATCATACCGATTATACATACAGAAGTACGATCTTGTATTTGTACCCTTTGTAAGTACCCCAGTTCTCGAGTAATGCTGATGTCTAGAAAAAGGATAGGAAAAATTATGAGACACCGTATAGCTCTCCTCACTCGGGTGTTCTATGCTAAAACCAACATTTCCAGAAAGTTAGGGATTGTGGAAAGGTGAAAATATACGGTTATACTTCTAAGAGCTTGTAGCATACAATTACATGGGCGGAAACAGCACAGCTTCGTTTTTATATAAGCATGAAAATTTTCGACTTCTCGACCTCTAAACGAGGAAAAAATGCAGGAACACTACATATGAGTGTCTGACGTAGTGTGCATTTTTTATGAGCAAGTTGGAGATTTGTGGGACCTTTTTGGCGAAAATATGAGTTTTCCGCGTTTTTTTTTGAGCCTTCAGTACAAGTCAGGTATTAAATGCAAACCTAACGGTAGATTAAAGCTGTGCGAACTTTTGCACACCGTTTTGTACAGTCTGCTCTGCTCTATGGTGCCCTGAAGCCAACAATGTGAAGTGCATGACTTATCGCCTCCATAAGTTAAAATTGTAACAAGTCTTACGTTACAACCTAATAGCATTTGGTGTATGAACAAATGGCTATGCGAAAGTGCTAGAAGAAGAACCAATCGCGTGAGTACAAAAACGATACCACTGTTTTACGTTTTGTGGAGGAAAAATCTGCTTATGTGTCTTTTTTTACGAACAACAGAGGCTTGTCCAAAATATCGAAACTGCGTAGGTGGTCGCAGGTATGAGTTGATGAGAATGTTGGTCTCTATCTGGAACAGCTCATCTAATCCGCGATGATTCGTAAATAGCCGTAGCATGCGCGCCTTTCCGCCCGTTCTGGCGCCAAGCTCTATCGACATCTTAAACGGTGAGTGTTGGTAGGTGGCTAACTACTACTAATCCACAGAAGTACCAGAGCTTTGTTAGCATAGCTGTTGAGACTTTTGATCGAGCGAGTTTGTACAGTTCACTTCACTATTTATAAGCAGTGGTTCGGGAAAATTGCGACTGTGGGGTTTTCACGACTACATGGCCTTCTGGACCAGCCGAGTCCGGTACTGCGCTTGAAAGGTCAGAAAAGTGCTTTTTTGGTGTTTCCGGACCATGGAGATTGCTGGAGGGGCGGGGCGAGGGATTCACCCTACAAGGAAGGAGCAACTGGCTGCTGGAGGCTGTAACTCCACCTATTTTGGCGGTAATTGGCTTTTCAAGCGCAGTACCTAACTCAGCTGGTCCAGAAGGCCATGTAGTCGTAGAAAGTCCGCAGTCGCAAAATTCCCGAGCCAGTGCCTTTAAGAAGTATCTGGCAAAAAATCAGCCAATAAAAACCAATCTTGGGACAAGGCTCAGAACCAACAAGTAGGGAGTGGCCCTGTCCTCAAAGGGCCACGCGTAAATTATGCGATTTCATCGCCCCGCATACTTTCAACAAGACTATCAGTTTATTGCATGCTGGTCATTTTGTATCTTGGTTGCGATAGTTTTCTAAGACGGCTAATCACGAGTGCGTATCACTAAAATGCAAGATGATCGGCATAATGGACTCGTAAGGCCTAAGGCATACTTTGCGAATCTCCAACGACATGACATGGCAATTTGCCAAATTTCTACAGATTAAGTGCATAAGGGTCTCAAACGTATAGTCGCCTAGCTTATGTAACTTTTTGCAAATACATACAGGCTAAGCTAAGCAAAGCCAGTGCGCGACTGAGTATGAGAGTCTTTGCAGTGCCAGACAGTGACTGGAACTGCGTGAAGTATGCCTCAGGCCTAACAGTTGCCTTGTTGGGATTATCGCAAGGCGATGGAATCGGGTGATGTATGCCCGGACCTTAGGTTGCGCCATACTGCGTGGCGGATGTGTGATGATATCGTGCGCAGCGTACCTCGCGTATGCAGCGCAGTCTGGCTCAACTCTTAACATTATCCAGTGGGAAAGGTGTCTTACATCATTTTTGATGGTTTTTTGTGGCCGTATTCATCAACCCTGAGGGTTAAATTTACCCCCAGGGTTAGTTTAACCCTCAGGGTTCATTGGCCGTATTCATCAACCATGGGGTAGGGTTTGCCACGGGACGCAATCCACCCGTATCGATCAACGAACCTGTGGCCGCATTCATCAACGAACCCTATGGTTGATGAATAATGAACCCTGAGGGTTAAACTAACCCTGGGGATAAAGGCGTCAGTTACGCGTGCGCTGTGCAAACTCATATCACAGAATGCCTAAGTACGTGTTAAATTCACTTTATACTTCTATTCTTTCACTGTTATAGTAGTATAATCAACGAATACTTCTAACACTAGTTTTTATAATACATCTCTAGCATATTTGTGCAGCATCCAATCTTGAGCGTGAGTTATTTTCATGTGTTTGTGCCGTGTAAGTTCTAATTTTGCGCAGTTCGTTTTATACGGGCTCGTGCTACTCTTTCAGGGGTCAATGCGTGCTATCATAAAGTGGTTTTCCGTTTTGGCACTTGTCAGAGTAGAATGCGCAACTATTTTTCCTCGTCGCATTCATTTGTCACCAAAGCTATAATTCTTTTTTTCGCGAACCAGCGTTTCATGTACTTTGAATTTGAACATAAAACGAGATCGAAACTAAATACAATAACAACAATCTAATACTGAATACTACAATACTCGTTGATTGTTTTTCATAAAACTATTAGATGCGAGTAAATGTTTGTATGAAGTGTCAGGGTAGAGTTAACCTTGCTCTAAGCTAGGGTTAAATCAACCCTGATGAATTACGTAAGTTTTACCCTCCAGGGTTACTTTAACCCTCAGGATTCTTTGATGAATATGGGTTAATCGCTTTCGGGGTAAGGTTTACCCTCAAAGATAGATTTAACCCTTTGGGTTAAGCCTACCCTGTGTTTCATGAATACGGGTTAATCGTTTTCCAGGGTTAAACTAACCCTCCAGGGAGTTTAACCCTCAGGGTTCTTGATGAATACGGCCACTGGTGAGTTCAAAACAGATTCTCATAACGTGGTGACAGAAAGGATGCAGGTATCAAAACCTTTAAGTTTTCATGAAGCAAAGGTGGATGCATTGGTTCACAGATGACATGTTGTGGAGTAACATCAGATTTTATCAGTGTTTACATGAAAGGCAGATGTGTACAGCATGAAACAAACAATATACTAGCAATATCTTTCATTCTCACAATTAGAAAATTCGTCTAATGTACGCTTTTCCACTTGGAGAGTGATCACATAGGTATTCTCGCGTTCCCTTCGGTCCTTTGACCTTGATAGTCCGACCGATGTTGACCTGAACGCGAATAAGCTGAATGAAAGGAGCTATAGCTTGACTTTGCCAGCATATGTCAGCAGTTGAACGCAGTGCTTGAACAAATTGGGTACTTGGATTTCATATGTGAAAACTTATTGAGTGGTCTTATTATGATCCTCAGCGGAGGGTATACCAGTGCCCAAAATTCGCTCAAAAAGATCTGCCCAGCACTTTGCACTGTACTTTTAAAGAAGCTGAATGGTTCGCTTGGAATACGGTCTATGCTAAATTTAGAGCCCGCAAATGCTTCATCCACATAGGAAGTTCAAGTATAAAGATTTGCCAGCACAATTGTAAGTTCCCATAAAATCAGAAAAGACTTTCGACTGACACGTTCTCCTCCGATAATGCATGCTACGATGTCGTAATCCCAACGTTCCGGCACTAATTTGCATTTCCTGATGTATCTGCCGTCACTCTACATTAGAATATCCTTACTTTTTGTAGCTCTCAAAAACACGCTTCCTTACCCACTCCTGTCCATCTTCGAAAACTTTGCCCTTGTGTATACAGCTACAAGCATATTGAACAGATATGCCAACGAGCACACAAGCGAGAAGTGGTGGGCGCATCTGACCAATTACCTTCAAGCGATAAAAGAAGAAAAGATAAATCGCGTATAATTTACGACAGATGGAGACCGCAACTTATTATGTGCAGCTAGAAATGAGAACCTACTAAACAGGCCAAAAGGCCAACAGGACAATCTTAGCATAGCATATTCTGACAAAGAAAGCACTTGGCTTGAAGTGGCTTTGCGATAAAGTGCATGCTGCTGGAGTCAGTGATGTATGCTGATCGCGAAACTGTAATCTTATCTGTTTTTACGGGTGTAGGGCAAATCGCACGACCGTAGTTTTCCACACAGAACCGCTGTCGCGGCGACACATCCTTCGGCTGGTTTACTTAAGCAAAGCGGGGAGGAAAGATTTGGGCATGCGTGACGTGTTAAAGGCAGCGTCCAGGCAAATCTGGACATACAGGTCTGATGTAGAAAGTAATTTTGGGGCCCTAACTAAGGCACTGCCCAAGCTGCAGCTCAAATGGTGAACTCTTGGTTGAGATATTCGCCTCCAAAGTGGACCTCGGGATCGTATTCGCATAGATTCATGGCGCGACACGCGTGGGTCCTCGCACGAAATTGATGTATCGTGCCATGCATCCATGCGAATACCACCGAGGTCCAGTTTGAAGGCGAATATCTCAACTGTGAGCTTACTATAGGAGCTGTCGCTTGGGAAGTGCTTTAGTTAGGGCTCTAAGATTACTCGACAAGTGAGATCCCCATAAGCCCAGTTTTGCCCGGATGCTGCCTTCAAGACACAAAATCGTGGCATGACAAAGACCTCCTATTTTTAAGATTCCGACACCTTCTTGAAAAACCTACGAGTTGACCATGCACACACATGTACTACATGTTGTAGGTCATTCTTAAAATCGCAACGACGGGTTTGGCTGCGGTCTTTACGCACACAGAAGCATAAAATGTTCATAAGATATCACCATAAAGTTCAGCTTAGTCACTTCCGGTATTTGAATATTATCATGTATTAGCAGGAAAACCGTTCGAGGAGAGATAGAAACCAAGAAAATGCTTTCGAAGTGCGTGCGTGTCGCGCGTCGCGGCATCGTTACGATTTTGTGAATGCCCTATATAGGAGCATGGTATGTGAGCATCGCAGCATGCAGCAGCACTACCATGTCGAGTATTGCATCGCTACAGTCATTTATTGCACAAAGGCTCGCAGGGTATCGAACCAACCCGTCATAAGCAGCTCTCTTGCATTCTTGTTTCTGACGCAACAGGTTTTCTTCGTCATGGAGAAACTGTGCAGATCAGAAACACTATTCAATCTGTTAAAGTAAAGGATGAAAAGGACTACTTCCTCAAGTTACGATCCCTCTTGAAAAGAAATCACGGAAGATCACTTCCTGTTAAAGTTTAAAAATTTCGGTGGCGTACATAGGAATCACGAATTTCCTGTCAAAGAAAGGAAATCGTATTGAGAATAGGAGCACAGAATTTGTCATCCCGGTGCAAGAAAACCAAGTCTTAATTGATCTTTGGAAATATTTTAAGGTCACTTTGTAGAGATTCTTGTCCATAAAACAAAAACTCAAACGAGTTAGAGTAAGTTACAAACTGAAGGGTGCAGTGAACGCTCGGATCAAAGAAAACAATTGCAACGCAAACAAAGTGAATGTTTTATCGCTATCGGTTTTTTCGCTAAACTATAGAATTTAGATCAAGCAAGAACCGACAAGAAGAATTCAAAAATCATGTTATTTTTCTGAATATGCTTCATGATTTCGTTGTAGTCATGGTGGTGTTGATATTTTATGAGCTTATCGAAAACACCAGCTTTACAAAAGTTTTAATCGATGCAGTGTGTTTTATAAGTACAAGTGTCCGACCTTGTCATATGTTTGGGTGAAGCTGTAAACAAGCTATTGTTTGTAATAAATCATACTTATGTGCGTTCTAAAGAAAAGACGTCAAAGCATATCAATCATGTATAAGCTGCAAAGTGGATAGAACATCCGCGCATGCGCAGGGCGAGTGGTTAGGTACTTTGTGTAATTTATGGGCAGCCACACTTGCGAGCAGCCTTAGTTGATATGATTCGGTCGCCGTCTGGCAATCGGCTATAAAGGCACATGGATCAAATGAGGAAATGCAACAAATCGTACAAATGATGACCATTAGACGGCCATGTGTCGAAATTTCCAATCTTATTCAGAATTCTTCACACGTCCTCTCGCTATTGATGATTAGTATTCTGACAACACTTTGACGTAGCTGTAATTGGAGCATCATAAGTCATGAAAAAATCGCATTGAACTTTGAACACATACCCAGAATCTGAAATGAAATGTAATAGCATAGTACACTAATACAAGAGAATTGGAAAGGGGAAATGATGACATTTTGACGGTTTAACACTGAGATTAGTTAACTCGCCCGAGCAAAAAAAGGGAAAAAGACAGATTCGATTACACCTTTATAAGTAAGCAGAGCGGCAGCGCTTTTGCGGACTTAAACATGCAGTGGCGAGCATGTGTTAGTTTATAACGGACTAGCTGGCATTCCCGGCTCCGCCCGGCACTGTCAAAAACGATAAAGGTTCCATTTTTATCCCTGTGCACCTTTACCTGTGCCCACTTCTACATACAATTCCCTATTCCCGCTGTGTTAGTAATCAGTATGCTAACCTACCTTCGTCACCAACTCCCCAGCCCCGTAGCTCAAACTTTGTAAAAAACCATTAAATCGATAAAAGTAAGGATAATTCTAAATACTGATGGCGTTATTCGGCTATCCGGGCCCTAAATTGTTTTTGTGGTGGGTCTTGCTCAAACTCAGTATATGGGGGTTATTCAAGCCGCTGATGACGAATATTTTATTTATGGTAGTCATGGAATATGGTAGTCATTTCGCGTGCAGCGGGTAAAAATCATGAACCTGCCTGAAAGAATTACCCAAAGTGCTGTTTCAAGAATATCGTGCTTATTCCCCATGATAACGGCAATCCGTGTGGTATAGAAGTTTCCCACGACCGTAATGCTTTTTTTTAGGACCACTGCCGCGCGCGATACACCCTTCGGCGGCTTTTGCCTAGGCAAAAACAGGGGGAGGGAGGTTTGCCGCGTGCGTTACTTGTTGGGACAGGTTATCAGGATGGCGCTGGAGCAAAACGACCGTCCATTTCGTAAATATCTGGGATCTAAATTGGCCCGAAAGCGAAAAAATGTCCATTCAAACCTTACAACTCACCATAACTTCACTATTGTGTTATGAGAGCGATCAGGCATCATATTCTTAAGCAGTATATGATGCCTGATCGCTTTGTTTGAGCAAATCTGGAACTTCGACCCATCTACGCTTACCGTAATTCAAGAAAATGCACTATCCTGCGAAATCAGCATGATGTTCATGTTCAGCGCACTAAATGAGCACCCTACACGAACAAAAGCAAATCTGTGTTTTCAACCTCGTGCCGTATAACCCCCATAACTTTATGAAAAGGTCCCAATATGCAGAGAAAGTATGAAATTCGTAATCAGCATGTCGATTGAGTTCTCTGGACCGAACTCCAGCCGAATTCATGATACTGAATTTCTGCCGTACACCTATCGTAACCACACGGGGGAACGTTCTGCGGAGAACTTGTGTATCTGTAATCAGCATGTAAGATAACCCTTATACACGAAGTTTGAGCAAGCTCTACGACAAAAAAATTTTCGGGCCCGGATAGCCGAATAGCGCCAAACTAATATTGTACTCGCAATCGGCATGCTCGATTACCCCCTGTGCCAACTCCCAGCCCCGTAGCTCAAACTTTACAAAAAATCGATCAAATCGATAAAAGTAATCTGTAATTCTGAAAACTAATATCGTATTCGGAATCCCATGCTCACTTACCCCCCTGCGCCAACTCTCAGCACCGTAAGTGAACTCTGCAAAAAATCGATAAAAATCGATAAAATCGATATCGATCGATGACGAAAAGTAGCCTATGACACCCGCCGAGGCCCGAAGTGTATGTGTGCCAAGTTTGTCCCGGATAGGTTCAGAAATAAAAATTTCTATTCGGAACATGCGTACATACAGACATACAGATATACAAACAGACATTCACCTTTACATATAAGATTGTAAATTGCAAATCTCGATAATTTGCCAAGCTTGAACTCTGCCTCTCGATGCTTAGAACAGCGTCATTCCATTATATTAGGTCATCTCAAAAGCCAACGTATTCGTTTTTTCAGCTTCTGACATTGGTGCCATATTTTCGAGAGAATGTAAGAGATCTAAAGGGGGTAGCTATACATGGATTTGTAGAGAAGATTTTCTAGCCTTCGGAGATTCTGCCAAACATGCAGAAATCGCCTTAGAAGGAAGTTTGTATGGCTATGAAGTCCGAAAACGCGATTTCGATTGCATTCTTTAAGCTGAAACTTAACACATTGACGACGAGCTGTTTTTTTGACGTCTTTCCCTGAGGACGAACCGTTTCCGGGCGTTTTCACAGTCGGTTGCATGTATGTATGTGTGCATCTATGCGTGAGGTACAAAAATGCAGGTGGCGGGCTCTGCCCACTTTTGGCAAGTCCCGCCCACTTTTCAAAAATGCTGGAAACTGCTCAAAATCGATGAAGTCGTTCTTCAATTTCCGGCATTTTCGAAAAGTGGGCGGAGCCCACTCAGAGGGTGGGGCCTGCATAGTGGGGAGGCGGGGTCAAAATCAAGATTATTCAAGGTTCTCCCGTCATCTACGAGCTTTTCTATGCGATTTGAGAACGAAAAGTTTTTTGTAGAGGGCAGCGGAATGGGCGGAGTTTGCCAAAAAGGGGCGAGGCCAACATAAAAACATTTGAGCCTAAATTGATTTTGTGAACACAAATTGAAACCATTGTACACATTAGAACTGGTATTTAGGGTGTCGCGAACCATTGCGCGACATCGTCCACAGGGACAGACTGCCTGTCGCGCACCATTGCGCGAACTATCTTCAACGTGTTAAATGCTGGAGGAAGCAACCATAAAGTGCATTGTGTTTGGCAGGAATACTTCTTTCTTGTGGGTGGTGCAAATCCAGTGCAAAAAATTTAGATTTAGGAAACGAAGAGCCAAAATTTCGCAATGTCCTGAAATGTTATCTGCCATCTAGACGAGCTGTTCAGAGGAAATTCTGGGGCAAATCGAGTGCAGCG